ACATTTTTGAAAAGTTCCATTCACGAAATTTTGAACTAACTGATACAAAATGAACGGAGCTCCCAAAAGCCATCAACAAAGAAAAATTACAGGAAGAAATTGTTAAATGAATAATACACAATACATATAACCAAACATCAAAAATAAAGAGAAAAAAGCACTGAAAATATAAAGTGTAATGTAAGAACAAGAGATGACAACAGATAGTGTTTATTCTTTGAGTGCATTTTTCACTGCATACAATTCAAACTTTGAGGCATCATTTGAACTCCAAAGCAAATTTTTGTCAAATTTGGTATTTGAACTTAGAAGAATTTGAAGTATGAGGTACTTAAAAAAGTGAAATAATTTTATTACATGTTAAAATTTATATAATTGATAATATATAACAAAATACTCTGGTCAAATTCAGATGAAGAGAATCTTTCAGACCAGTGCTCTACGTGTATATATAGTATATCGTTTATACTATATACTATATACAATATACTATATATACGCATAGAGCACTGGTCACAGGTTCCAGATAGTGTAACGTTAATTTCACCCCAGTGCTGAAAGTAGAACAGTTCCTATATTTTGAATCTTTCAGAATTATTTGTAACAAAAATTTTCATTTAAATTTTATAATTTGTGTTTGGAAAAAATAATTTAGAAAAAAAATGTTCTAATTTATATTAAATTAAGAGTTCACAAAAATAAATAAAAATTCAACAATAGATAGTTTTATATAATACAAATAATTTTGAATGTTTTATATTATGAAGGTAGTGTAAACTAACTAGATATTTGAAATTGGTAATTAGCTACATCTTTTAATCTTACACAACAAAATATCTTTTAATAAAAAGTAATGGATAAACTTCAAAATAAAATTGTGGCAATAATTCTAAAATAATGTATTATAAATATAACAACAATGAATATTTTAAAATTTGTTCTATCTGTTGTATTTTAATAACTAACTATAAAAATTAATATTAAATTTATGATAAAAATATACTTCTTTATTAATAAACATTAATACTTTAATCAGATGTTTATCAGCAAAAAAATATATTTTATTAATCATCAAAGACAGATAGGATGTTTAAAAAAAAAAAAGCAATCATCATTTATATGATAGAAGTACACTCGTACACTGAGTAAGAGAATCTTACAAGGAGTTGGCTTTCTGATTTGAATGAAACTTGGTGAGCACTTAGCCCAAACACAAACAGATCCTTGTCCAAAAATAGGACCTGCTTCAAAAGTGTTTTCAAAAAAATGGGTCTCTACAAATTGAGTGTATAGTTTATAAGTCTTTTGAAGATTCATTTCTTGTAATTGAGATAGCTGAGTGGATAAGATGCTAGGCATAGGAACTGTACATTGTAGGTTTGAGCCTTCGCACTTAGTTTTCTTTTTTTTTTTTAACGTGTAACAAATTCATTTTATTATTTTACCATACCATTAGAATTATTATTACTTTTGTTATTTCTCACATTTAAAGTTTATAACACATTAAATAAAATTTTTATTTCTCCATATTTATTTTCAGATAGTTTTGCTCCTAATTACACAATATGTCAACACAAATAAATAAGCTTCAGATGTTACTGCAGATGAACAACAAAGACAAGTCTGATATGAAGGGTAGCATAGTTGCAATATTTTTAATTGTTAATGTTATAGACCAGACATGGGCAAATGCAGCTCTTTTTGAGTTACATGTGGCTCTAGCTGAAAGTGTTAATTTCTGCTTTTTATTATTATTTTTACAATTTTATTTCCACAATTTTGTGAAAATATGTTTATTAAAAAATTCAATATTTGTTTTATATTATATTTATATTATATAATAAAATCGCAGTACAGAACTGCGGCTCCCATGCATTTTGCAAAACCTTCATTTCGGCTCCCACTGAACTCTTGCTTGCCCAGCCGTCATGGTATTTCACAAATTATTTTTGTACTGCATATACAAAATTTTCAATCACAATCTAATTATTGCTATGTATTGGGTTTGATGGGAATGTTTATTTTCACAATCCAAATATTCTTTATTCAAGACATGAGTATCTTTAAAAGCTTATGTTTAAAACAACTTAAAAATTAACCTATGTAAAATTGTTGTAATGTGTTTTTCACTCTTACAAAACCCCAAGCTCTGAATTTATCATAAATAACTTGATCATTATCTACTAGTAGCCCGGGACGCCCCCTAGTGGGCGTTCCAGCAGCATTACAAATTTCTGAGGCATGTTTAATGCACTTAATATATGAAAGTTGTGTGCGCTTAATGTTTAAAAGTTTGTGATGCGCTTAATGTTTAAATGTATACAATTCTTCATCTTAGAAACTAAACTTAAAATATCAATACACAAACAGCCAACAGTATTTGTACATGAGAAAGTGAATCTATTCTTTACTCAAAATTGTTCAAATAAATAGAATTAATATGATTAAAAAATCAAGTATAAATATATACAAATGTTCATGTTAAAAAGTAATGTTAACAGATCAATACACAGCAAATAGTATTTCTGTATTACAGACTGAAGATATTCTTTAGCTGTGTTCTGTATTCCATCATTTATCCCATCATAAAACTTCTGTATACACAACATTGTTGGTAAAAAAA